CATCTATCTATCTATCTATCGGTCTATGTCTATGTCTTTGTCTATGTCTATGTCTTTGTCTATGTCTATGTCTATGTCTATGTCTTTGTCTATGTCTATGTCTATGTCTTTGTCTATGTCTATGTCTATGTCTATGCTATATAATATATATATATAGAGAGAGAGAGAGATCACCATTTCTTTTGTTCAATCATGATGATTTGGGAAATCCATCAAGAAACCTCAATGCCTGGCTTCACTGGACACCACTCCCACGGATTCCATCCCTGGCCGTCCTGCGAAGTCTTTGGACAATGGCCCAGGTCTTAGAGTTCAAACTATGGTTTATGGCAGATATAACTACAGTTAATGACAGTTAATGGGGTTTATAAACCAACCTATAACTGGGGGGCACCATCCTGTACCAGGCTTTGGAGCTTTGACTTCTTTGAGATTCGACGGCATCCAAAAAATCTGACTCATTCCACTGCAGGACGGTCCAAGGACGCATCTGGAAAAATCACACCAACTTCACGATGTCTTTTCGCAGAAAATCGTCGAGTCCGATTTTCGGTGTTTTTTTGGGGGGGATATGTTGGAAATGATTGGAACAACTTCACCAATTTGTTGCTGAGCCCGAGTTTGCCGACTCGTCGGCGTGGGATGTCCGCCAGCTTGGCGATGCGCGCAAAGGCACCACCTCGGATGCATGGATTACGCACATTACGCACGGATTATGATGATGTTCCCCAATTACCCATATGCTCCATGTATGGAATATTTACCAACATTTGCCCTAAAAATCACCCAAATGTAGGTAAATATACTATACATGGAGCATATGGCATGGCATATGGGTTATATGGACATAAATTGGGGTATACGGTATACCACATCAGATGAATTCATGAGTCCATCATGTCTGTATGGGATTCTACCGATGTTCAGTGGTAGATGATCATAGAATCATGGATGTATTGTACGTATTTGTCACCTGCGGATTGGCAGAACAGCTCCTGGTTGTCCATAAGTCATTCCACCGCCCCATTGCATCCATGCGTGTCCATTGCTGGGTGCAGTGAAAGGCATCAAACAGTCACTGTCGCTTCACGAAGATGCCCAGCCACACTGCCACAGCTTCAACAAAGAACACAGGCATAAGAATTAAGAATTGAAACGAGAAGCACGTCATTTGTACACGAAGTGGATGTCAGCCCTGGGCCTTGAACGATGATTCTGTGGCTGTTTCAGAAGTCTAGCTAAGTCCAGCACGCTTTGAGCCCTGTTCCGTCTTCATGCTGTCTTTCCTGAGACCAGTTTGGTATGCGCGTGAGGCATGAAATCTCCTGCAGCTTTCTGGTGACCCCGACATGACTTCCAGATCCTCCCCAATCTCCTCAGCATAGAGTCTGAGCCTTGTGGAAGCACCGCGCTTGCCATAGACAAATCAAACTGCCACAGCCACAGCAAAGATCAAACTGCGAACCTTGCTTATGTGTGAGTATTGACAGGTAAGGAAAAGTTACAAGCACAAACCCAATTCATTGCTATTTCTGCGAGCCCGACGCACGCATGATGCGTGCATCCTCCTCTTCGGAAAAATGGACGTTCTTGAGCTGGCAGATTCAGCAAGTCACTGGGTTTCGGGTGTTCCACTTGCCATCGGAATCTCCTCAAAAATTAACTACTCGTACTATTCTTCATATGGGATTTTGTGTGTCTTTCAGTTTCAAAGTCCTCGGCTTAGAAAAAACTCACAGGGACCCAAAACCCTGAAATCCTCTCTGCATTTTATGCAATTGAAGATTTTGTATGTGGTACATCGACGGTCTGCCATGTGTGATTCTCCAATGGGACCTTCTTGCCGTCGTAGGTCTCATCTGTTTTCCACTTCCTCTGCCTCTTAATCGGCTCAGAGACTTCTCCAGTGTCTGAAGAGTACAAGTCTGGATGCTACAAGCCGCTTCAACATTAATATAGGGTAAATAACTTGCACTATTAATGTGACCATTGGCTGTTAATCTGTTTAAACATCATCGAAATGACACTTGGTCGCAACTCCTGTAGTACTTAACCGGCAACCGTTTGCTCAGGACCCGACTCAGGATTGTCGCGGGACCGTGGCTTTCTTTCTCCCACCTGCATCGTGGCCAACAAAGCCTGAATCTGCTGCAAACCAGCAGCAGATCTACGCCCCAAAACAATGCGATGGATCTAGCCAAGCCAAGAGACAACAAAGTCAGATTGAAGCCATAACCCCAGAACGTTTTGCCCAACGGATTGAAGTCTTCGCATGGGCGCAAAAGGCCTTTAAGCTTTGGGAGTCTTTGTCCCAACCTCTGCAAACTGGAGAAGTTCAAAAGTCCATATCATGAGGGAGAGAGGATTTGATAAGCAAAATCAAACTATCTGTGGCTGCGGAGAAAAAAGAGGGTTGCTGTACAACGTCCAAGGCTTGCAAAGCCTCTCCGCAAGACACAGCGCCACTAATCACCACTGCCACCGTCTCAGCCTTGTCCAGCTGAGTTTGTTCACCACGCTTCAAGTGAAGCCAATCGATTTCCAACCAGCCCTGCCCCAAATCCAAATGCAGTGGCCCAGAGTCATGTTTGGTCACATGTTTGGTCACAAGGTCGTCACTGGAAGCAACGATCCCATCTGTCGGTCGACCTGGAAGGATGGTGAGGACACGCCCCACGGAGCCTCCCACGTTCTTGTAATGTGTGACACCTGAAGGGACAGCAATCAAATCGCCAGCATCCACTGTGACCTGCCGTCCACTTCCATAAGCAAATTCAAAAGGACTATCAAGCGGAACGAAAATCTCCACGTTCGAATGCCGGTGCAGCACATTTCCCTTCAATGGGCTCAAGGCATTGTAAGCGAGATTGTAGCCATAGCACTCCAAAAGTGGACTAAGTGGACCATCTTGGGGATTGGTGACAATTCGACCCATCAGCAAAGTCGTTCTGTCATACTCCTGTCGCATGGCAGGACCGCACCAAATACTTCGAACACTCCTAGGATCCAACAAGCCTTTTGGCTGCTTCAAATGTGTCGCATCCTAGGAATGCTATCTGGTCACCAACTCTGCACTCATAAGTCTTCAATTCCTGGGATTGTCCCATCAAAACCTATCAAAACATGGTGATAACCTATGATAACCATGCCTGTTAAGCAGCCACCATTGGGATATACATCCAACATCATCCAACCCATGAAATTCAGCCAGCAGACTTCTGCTGTCAGGATCTGGGGCATCTGCTGCAGCTTAACCACCTCAGGGGGGTTGCCCTGGGGATCATGGGTATCTTAAAATTTTTAAAATATCAACCCTAATTCCATGGAAGAATGGTGGATGTGGTTGGCTTCCTGGTAGACTTTATATAACTATATAACCATCCCACAGTGCTGTTGGTATCAGTGAAAATTGCAATTGTGAATCATGGGGATAGAAAATAAGGGGCTTGTAGTCACTACGTACTGATGGGGGGGCGTAATGGGATTTAACTTAATCAACAATTATGGGTTTATCGGTACTGGATTTGTCCAAAAATGGTAGAAAAGGTGATGTCCTCCCATGGCCGCCATGTTCAGGAAAAAACATAATGAAAGAATGGGATCTGGGGTTGCCCTATTTTCAGACAAACTCACGTGTGCTGCTGGGGATTGAAACAAAAAAACAGTGGTTGTTTTCCGGAGATGGATAAACTCAAGAGTTCAACCTTACCTTTCCTCAACCGGGATCTTTGATGATCATGAGCCACTGCTGATTTTTGAGTTGGGGTGCCATGAGGGATAGCCTGTGAACACCATGAAATGCACAAGGCTGAATGTGCCAATTCCTACATTCCATTTCTATTGCTTCGGTCCAAAAAGTAGGTCAACCCAAACGGCCATGTCACAGCTCGCCGCGCTCGCCTTCTTGTTGGGACTGTCTGCCAAAGTAGCCGCCCCCTTCACCATGGATTCCAGTTTGGCATACACCACATCGGGCGTCAAGCTTGGTGCCCCAACGGAGAAACCAGAATCACTACAGGCCATGATTCGGTCCATTCCAAGCAGATCTGAATAGGTCTCTAACCTTTGAGCTACCAAGCGCCAATGTTCCACGTGCGCAGAGGTTGGGTCCAAAACCCCAGGCATCAGTACCTGGGAGTCAAAAGATCTTCAGCAGTTTTCGTACGGCTAGATCCGTGCGCAAAACAAAGATGTGCAAAAGCAAACTAAAAGATCTAAAAGCATCTAAAACCAGGAAAAACTCCCTGCCTTATCTGCGGGAAGCTTCCGTTTTTTCCAGACTTCATGTTCGTGAGCATGCTGAGGGTTCGAAGCCTCCAGAGCAATATACTTGGGCACAGCAGAGAGGATGATGTCCAAAATATCTGCCAGAGGAACATGTTCACCTGGATGACCCCAACAGACGTGCATCCGAATCCTGGAGGCATCCAGACCCTCCAAGGACTGGTTAAGGACCTTGACCTGCAGCGATCTGTGGCGCGTGTGTCGCATGGCCAGATCTGGAGAATCCACTTGAAGTTTAAAGCCTTCGTCGTGGATGGCCTTGTACTCAGTCGCCATGGCAGCAGCTAAAGCATCCAGATAGTCTTGCTGGGTTGCATAGAAGTTGTTGGAGAAGATGTTTGCCAACATACCAGGTGATGGTGAAGAAAAGAAGACTCTACCTGTAGAGCTTTAGCGGGATGTAAACCTCGATCCTTCATAATGCAGACACGATATAAATCAAGAATTGCCCACAACGAAATGATACGAAATGTTGGTGAAAAAAGTTGGCGGAGTGGCGAAGCATGTTGAAATGACAACACGATATCTCCATGATATCCAACCCGCTGCGGACGGCTCTACGCTCCACTTCTACCTTCGTATGCTTCTGCCTCTATCATCGGATTGGCTTAGGGAAAATTTACCAGAAACCTTCATGCTTGGTATTTCAGGAAAAAAAAACATGGTTTCCAGTGTATGATCACCTTCCCATATGGAATAGCCGAACCTTCTTTTCCAGTGGAATTTCACGTATATACAAGTACGGGTGAAAAAGACGTGAAAAAACCATGGTGTCCGGCAAATGTGCACCGAAATATATGATGGGTCAAAACCCTGGTACCTAAGTACCCTAAAACAGCTGGTATAGCTGGATGGTTATTCCCCCAGTTGGTAATTTCATAGGGTTTTGACCCATCCCCATATCTCCATATTTCTCCCCTATCCATCAGACCCAGCTACTCAGCGGCACGTTCAGTCGCTGTGCAGCCAACTTCACCCGTGCCAGTTCCAGTTGCAAGTCTTTGAGGCCCGCTGCGGTGTAAGCCACGGGACCTGAAGCCAGTGCGGTGTAAAATTCCAGCTACGGCTGTTGCTGTGGGATTGAATGTTGAAAGTGATCTATAGATAGATATATTATATATAATGCATATGTATATATAATGTGCAATATATATATATATGTGATGTATATATATATATGCATATCATATATTTGAAGATAGGATTAAGATAGGTGGATCACTTGTTGGAGTATGCTCGCCGGTCAGCCATTGTTTCAATAATTTAGACTTGACATAAATGATGCAAATGATGGGCTTTTGTTTGTGCATGTTTATCCTAGTTTGCACTTCAGACCCTGCCGCATCATGTACTGTGGGAGTACCGCAGTACAGATGGGACCCAACCTTGAAAAGCATCTTGGAACCCCCATTCAACCCATGTTGCAACTGCTCCTTTCAATGGGGATAAAGGACAAAGTTCATCAAACATCACAAAAATATCTCTCAGCTTATGTCAGCCAAGAATCCACTGCAAGAAGCTGCACTTACCTCTGTCTTCTCAGTCAACGTCAGCCCTTGGCTCAACTGGTCTCAAGTCACATCAATGGGGGCGGCAAACCTCCCCAAAAGAAGATTCTTTGCAAGTCCCCAGGGTCCCTGACCCCAAAAATTGCTATGCCAGCTATGCAAATGGATCATCCCCATCAAGGCCCATCCACCAATAGTCATTCAACCGTCCCATGGCAGGACGGGAGGACTCCATCTCTCCGAGATTCCTTGGAGGCTCCCATCCAAGCCGGACAGTCGTTGCAGAGCTGAGGTGGCATAGTGACTTCGCCCCATTTCGCCATCGTTGATCTCGTCCAAACCTGCATCCAACTGTTTCTGCATAATTTCGACCTCAGCAAAGAGATAGATGGATATCTTGAATTTCATTCCAAGCAAAGAGTCTCCTGAACCAGGGTGTTGGAACCATCAAAGTTCCTGGCATAACTTTAGGAGCCCTCAAACCGTGGGATTCTGCAGACTCTGATGAATTTCGGTGGTTCTGGGGAGGTCCAAATCAAAGCTTTTCTGGAGTTCAAAGCAAGTCTACTGTAGCTTCCAGTAGCTTCGCCTTGTAGTCCGGAGGTGGCCTCTCTTCACCCCGAAGGATTGGCAACAGCCAATCCGGTCGTGGTAGGGATCCCACATGAGTGGTTTGCACACGCTTGCGCTTTCGGGGGAGTCCTGCTCGGGCACCAGCCATCAACGCCACTTTGTCGTGTGCATTCACAACAAATTGGAAGCCCTTCGAGATGAAATACTCCTGAATTGCCCAGAAGCATCTGTGAAAAGCATCCAAGAGAGAGCTATGCTTAGAAAGTATCATGCCAGTTTCTCAGGTACAACTGGGAACTGTGGCTTTTGCATGCTTTCGCAAAAACGTTGCCTTGTTCTGACAGAGGCTCCGTGCTACTTCTGTCACTCACATAGATACCCACCACCTTCCCCCAGTATTGTGCTAGGGCAGCAATCCTGGAGATGGCTTGCTGCGTCTTGTGGCCATTTGTGCCCAAGCCATGTTCATCCAAAGCACAGCTGAGATCCATTGGACCAATGAACACACCATCCACGTCAGTTTGCAGAATCCTTGGAAGTTCCAGGTGTTCGCAAGCTTCGGATCATGTTGGATGCCAATACAAATAGACTCTATATAAATCTATATAATATATTCATCTCCAATATTCATCTCCAATTGAAGATTGATAAATCTTTCAAAAATGTGAACCCAACGGATCCAAGAATCTCGGTCAAATTCTCAAGTCCCTGCTTTGTTTCGATCATAGGAAGCACAATCGGCCGGGTTGAAGGGTTTCGCATCTTTTCGGTGTACCCTGACACATCGGGAGAGGATGTGGGTGCGCCAGAATGGTGCAGCGTTTTGGCGCATTGCCGTATCAAGCTCGTGCTGTATGCTTCTCTCAACAGTATAGTCTAACCAAATAATCCCCACGTCCTTTTACTAAACGTACCCCAAATACTAAAAACTAGGGTCCGCGTTAAATTTTGGGAAATGTCAGACTGGCAAATTTGATTTTGAATTGATCCCCTTTCGAAAACAAACTAAAAATGAAGGTCCCATTTCAGGGTTTCACCCCATCATAACAAAAACTAGTCAACATTATATAGGTTCCGTCCTTTAAGGTCGGGAAAAAACAAAAAAAAAGTATTTTATACTAAGGTGTTTAATTTAATATTAGGGGAAAGCTTCGAAATTCAACTTTGGCAATATTTATTTAGAATTTGAAAGGAAATCTAATCGATTTTGAAAAAGAAAAATTTAGTAATTTAGTTGTTTATATTAGGGTTGTTAATTTAGTATTAGGGGAAAGCTTCGAACTCCAATTTTTGGCAATATTTAATTAGATTTTAAAAAGAAATCTCATTTGAATTTGAAATAGAACAAAAATAGTTTTATATTAGGGTTTTTAATCTAGTGGGGGAAGCTTCGCACCCTAATATTAAATACCCCCTAATACTAAAAACTCCTCCAGGTGTTCATTATTTGAAGGGGGACCGCGGTTTAGCAATATATAGGGGGAAGGGATTAGAATCAACAAGTGCACTTTCTCCCCATGGCTGTCAAATTGCTATGGGTTCTTATTTGATCCCGAAAACAAATGGTTGAGTAGGCAAAATGACCAATTTGGGGTCCTCAAATAATCCGAACCGGGAATTGCTGGCTGTGCCTTGTAGGGTGCTGCGGTCCTTCAACATCGCACGCGTCGGACCCCAGGAGCGCTCCCCATTTGGAGCGTAGCGACACGCAGCTACCAAGGTTTCTGCTTGTGCCCTGGTGTTCACCATGGGACAGATTACACCTGGACAAAAACTTGAATGTTTCTGCTGGGCACATCAGATGGAACTGATCTCCAAAAGCCATACACAACTTTTTCGGGCATTGCCAGCAGCAAGAAAACAGCAGGCAAGGGTTCAAATGCCAGAGTCAAGGCACCCATGAAACCAGCATCCAAATATAGGCCCACTTCTTTCGATGAAAGTTCAGAGATGCGAACCATTGCAGTCGGTCTGTCATCTATAGCTTGTAAAGCTCGTAGTTGTCTGATTGCTTCCTGCGCCCTTGACATGCCATGTTGGATATCCACAACGTATGCGTCATAGTTCACCTGGAACAATCGACAGAGGATTTAGCGATTTCACACCTCACTGGAGAGTAACAAAAAAAACATTGAAATACCCTATTTTCAGTACCAAAGGATGACTGTCCAAGATATACCATATATATATACATCGATCCATATACATCATTGTACATCCATATACCAACATGTTGATTCTTTAATGCAACCGGTGGCCGCGCCTGCGCCAGCACTTCCACAGTCAATTCGTCAGCTGCATGCAGCCAGCAGGCCAAGGCCGTTTCGCCTGTCTTCCAGATGTCACGAAGTGCACCTGGGGTCGACAGGGTGCCCAGACAGCGACGAGATGTGTTGAGATGTGTTGAGCATGGTAAAGGAAAAATGTAGCAAGAAAAGAAGCAAAGAACATAGCTACATTAAGTAGAACTAGCCAACTAAGCAGCACGCTAGCCAAGTGACTAAGTAAGCTAATAGGATAGTGGAAGTGTGTCAGTGTAAGTGTGTGTGTGTGTGTCTGTGTGTAGGGGTGTGCACCGTCTTCATAGGAACAAAAAAATACCATCCGGAAATCAAACGTTGCAATTGGAAATCCCTAGTAAATGGGAAAATCAGGTACTGCTGCATGTACTTCAGATGTCTTTTTCCCTTTTGAGTCTGTACCTAAATAAACGGAGCTGGAAACACAATGGTGTAGTGAAACCTCGGGGTTTCCTTCACTTTGTTAGTGGTTGAATCTTCAGCAATTTCTTGTGGCTTGCCATTCAATGCCATTCAAATTGGACCTGTCGTAAAATATGGTACCCAAAAGTCCTATGGTTTAACTGTGGTATTCCCCATTTTTTTGTGCAAACCCATTGGAAACTGGTGGTGAAACTGGATGGCATTCTTACAAGCTCTTGGATTGTGTTGTTTCTTGCTTGGTTTCCACCCGGTGACTGACTAATTTCGGAACAACAGTTGCAAACCCCTGGATCTAGGCTGAGAATGGCAAAGGTGAAATAGCCAAGGTACTCATCGGAGCAGTCGCAATCGCAAAGTTGCTGAAAGGCAGCGATTTTCAGCCCGCTGAGCCACAAGCAAGTTGCAGTGTACTGTCAAGCTGGTCAAGCCAAAATATCCATTGTTTAAGTTGTCAAGGAACTTCTCAGATCATGCTCTACTAATTATCCTCTGGTGATTTAACATAGCTTTGGAAAATGGACCATTTGTTGATGATCAAAATGATCAAAATGATGATTTCCCAGTGAAAAATGGTGAATTCCCAACGGCCCTGTGACCTCATCCTGCTCGCCAGCATCTTTGGGTCTCCTCCTTCTCTTTGGCGCCATCCCATGCGCGGAAGAGACGCAGAATCAAGGTGCCAAGACAAAGTTAATGGGATCCTCACATGATGGGATATGTATGGACCATATGGAATTGTATGGATATGTATTACTGTATGGGTATGTCTGGATATGTATATACATATATCAACGCGTCAGAAGGATGCTTATGGTGTGTCTCAGGTATGTAGTTGTCTATACTCTCAATTCTTATGATGAAGACAGAGAAACGAGAATCTTGCTACAAGCTTGGCTCCATGAAATGCACCTAAACGGGTTCATGAGGCACTATGACTATGAGAACGATGTGCATACGCAAAAACCAAGGGTGGTCGAAAATCATGCCAATGGTGCTTCCTGCAACATCTTCGGTTGTAGGTCAAACCTCCTAATGAGCAAAAGGAAAGCCAACGAATCACCACAATTGTCTGCAAAGCTTGCCTCATGTCGTAACCCTGGCAGAACACGAGTCGACTTTGTCGTGTTCACCGTGTTCACAAATTCAAATCTCCGTCAAACCGATCCAGTGCTGGGATGTCAACGTCTGTGGCTCGAATGTACATGCAGTGTGATGCAGGATGTACATATACATATACATATACATATACATATACGTATACGTATACGTATACATATACATATACATATACATATACATATACATATACATATACGTATGTATATATATATATATGATAATTATCATCATTATCATTATCAGAATTATTATTATTGTTGTTGTTACTATTATCATTGTTATCATTATTATTATAATATATATATATGTGTGTGACATGTATGATATATATATATAATACTATATTATAATATATAATACTGTATTATATAATATTTTATATTATATCATATAATATCATATAACAAAATATAATAATACATCATAACATAGCATAATATAATATTATATGATATAAAATAATACAATATACTATAATATAACTTAATATAGTCTGGTATAATAGAATACCATCGAGGTTATATAATGTATGTTATATAATATAGGTGATATATATATAAGCTATATATATAACTTATATTATATATGTGATATATATATATATATACATATATATATGTTATATAATATATATCATACCTAAGTTATATGATATGTATATATATATATTATACCTAAGTTATATTATATTATATATATATATTGTTATATATAAGTAAATATTATAGTGGTTTCTTATGGTTTCTTGATGTGTTCAAACCTGTAGCTGACGGCGACAAAAACGTACAGGCGGCTCTCCCATCTGTCCAGTGGTTTTTCATCCGCATCTCACGGAGTCTCATGGATTCATTTGAAGCCCAACTCTTTGAGTCCCAGTAAAGCCTCAACCGTCCGTGGTACGTGCAGATACTGAAATTGGCAAAGAATGTTGGGAATTTCCCCCTGGAAAATTCGCCTTCATTTCGATACCTATTGTTTGGTGGGCAAGAGAAACAGCTGACTTTGCAGGATTTCACTGGGTCACAGGCGCCAAGGGCAATGAAGATATCCATCATCAGAAACACAACAACGTCCATCTCAAAGCGCCAGAGTGCCTTTTGCAGTCAACCCCAAATCTAGTGATGTTCAAACTATGCATTTGAACAGAGGTCCAACATGTCTGCTCGCTCAAGGCCTCATTTTTTTACGCCAGTGTTAGGACCAAACGTTTTTGGCTTTGCCAACACGGACGCTAGCAGCTAGCAAATGTCATGGTTTTGTGGAACACAAGCCCGGCTGAAATGGCCTGTTCGTAGTATTTCGTCACCTGTCAATGCCAGAACGGTTCTTATACTCGCTACAAATGAGAGCTACGCAGCATGAATGCAGCATGATTCTTTGGGTTCTTCCAAGTGCATCCGGGAGTGCTTTAGCAAGGAAGACAATGGTGGCTGAACATGTGCAAACTTCCACAAACCCATACCATGCAGGTAAGCGTTTGCCTCGCCAACTGGATCCTCGACCTCGAGCAAATCACTGCAACAGGATTGCTCTCTCTACTTGCCTTTCTATTCGAGAAGCATCGCATTGCAAACTTTTCGTCAAAGTGGTTTGCACCAAATTCTAACATCATCCATTACATCAACATTTTGGCTAAATTTCTCCACGAAGATCGTTTCCCATCTGACAATCGGCACAAAATGTCATCGTTTATGCATGTAGGCTCCCGAACCCATGTGAATAGCAGAGGATGCCGCGAGGGAATGCACAGCAACGGCCTCAGTATGTTCATGAAAATGGGATCATGTGGGAGCGTCTGCAAATGGGGCATCTCCCCAAAATTGCCATTTAATGGGAAGGATGTTTGACTTAGTCAATTTGGGGTATACCCCGCATTCTTGGACAAACCCGTGCTGCAGCAACCGTCTTCCAAGTTCACATCAGTGTGTTCAAACACTGAAGATCTCAACTAACAGCACTTGCAACGGAAACGGATCAAACACATCACAAGCCATTGGCTTCCCCTCCCAGAACCACCATGAGATGCTGAATGTTTGTGGCCTCCTCTTTGCAGAGAGCCCCACTGAAGAGACTGAGCCTCCCGGCGCTGCTTTCGAATGGCCCTTGGCAGTGTTATCCTCTCCACTGGTGGGGCACATCCGGGCTGTCCACTCCTGGATCTCCCCAAGGTCAATCAACTCAGCATTCATTCGGCGCTACAAAAAAGCATGTCTATGTCCTGTCCCGATCATTATTAGCACATCTATCCACATTTCACATTTCCCAAAATATCGTACATTGTATCATCGCCATATTCAACAATGATTTCGATCAAGCCTGCTGGTACACCACAAAAACCATCCACCGCAGGTCATCTGGGCACAACTGCATCGGCCTGTATTGCCAGGAGATAGAAAGGCCGATGGTCCTGCAGCTGGTGACGGATCGGACAGGCTAGTACTGTAAAATCCACCCAGAGTCTGAATTTCAAAACTGCAACACCAATGAAGTAGCCATGGGAAGACAGTCGTGCTTCTTGTTCTCGAAACACTCCTCGCGAATCATTCGCATCCCAGCCCGTGCACGTTTGTTGGAAGCCTCGCAAACGAGAGGACAGCCACTTGGAAATCCAGCATCTCTAAGCGAGCAACATCGACATGACTCTAAAGTACTCCAAACAAAGTGAGGCTATGGCACCCATGAGGTATCATGTGACTGTCATTGCGATGCTTCATCATTCTTAGCGGCACCCTCATCAAAATCATCCTCATGATGGTCATGATCATCGAATCATGAGGAGGCAATGGAACCTTTTTCAAAGTCCTTTCGGCTCCCAAATCATTGGTCTGTGCGTGGATCGAATGCGCACCTGCCCTGACCTGCATGGTCGAGTTCTCTCGCTTCAGCGTCGAAAGCACCGAAGAGAGGTAGCAAGACTTTGATGATGTTAGTAACTGTTAGTAACTGTTAGTACCTAGGAATCATTTCCCGGCTAAAGATGGCTATAGTATAGTGGGGAGGTAGCATAGCAGCTGAATTGAGTGGATCATCAGAGTCCGCTTTACACGCAAGCCCAAAAACCAGGTATCACAGAAACAGGATCAAATCCTCACCAAATCGCGAGGTTTCCTCGCGTGGAAACGTGACCGCTCCGAAGAAACGGGAGCAAGAGCAACTTTGAAGGACCTTCTCCCAATGCATTGTGATGGATCGCCACATCTGGGCTTCAATGTTTCAAGGCCTTCCAAGTTCGAGCAATACAGACCATACTTCCGGAGATTCCTCTTGCAAACCATTTCTGTGAGCCTAGGTTCTGTGGCACTGAAAATCGCGGAAAATAAGGCTGTGCCACACTGGTCAGGGGTGTGGAGATCAAACTTAGCGGTATTGAATACACGGGTTTGTCTGAAAATAGGATACCCAAAATGTGATGGTTGTTCATGATGTTCGTCCTTGAAATGCCATAAAATTTTATACCGTTAGTCATACCACATTTCCAGACAAACCCTTATCCAAGAACAAAGCTAAGCTCTTTGACCAATCTTTCACATCTCCACTGAATCCCTCTGACCAAATCTTCCAGCACGAAATCGGGCCAGGTAGGGCCCTCTATTGGACTCTACAACTCCTACAGCACGAACTGGAAAATCTGAGGCGAACCTTCTGCTTGGGGCTGTTGCTTTGGTCGATTGGCTTGTGAATGCGATTTTTACCTGCAGCTCCTGTGGTCAAATCCCTTGCTGGCAATCAAAAGATGTGGATGACAACCACTGGTGGAGAGGTCAATGATCAAACACCTCCGTCGCGTTTTCTTGCTTTGTGTCCACATGCAAAGCGAAATGAAGAAAAGACAACCAGAGTTTGAACGACAGCATCAGAAGGCCACACATGAGGTGCGAATACCCAGCTGCACAACTTTGAAATTGTTGTTCCAAGCAAGAATTCTGGGAGTGTTTGAGCTCGGTGCATCCAACAGAGCATCAGCATTGTTCCAAGAAACAATAGAATGTTCCATTACTATCCCAGTATCCCATTACACAGCAATTAAATCGGAACTAAATATCCATTCTATTGCCATTAAATAGCCATTTAAAGCAATTTAACCAATGGCCATTTCAGGAACCTAAATTGGAGGTACCTACCACATATAAGGTCCATGTAATATATATATATATATAAGGGGCTATACCCCCAAACTCTGATTCTATATTTAGTAGCTGTTTGATAGCCAAGTTTGTTATTTCTTAGCCCTTTAATTAGTAGCTGTTTTCAATAGCCATTTTGGGATCCAAAGAAGTCCAGCCCCAAGACTTGTCAGAGCTGACACAACTCGGCAGATCATCCGATGAGTTCCTGGGACTCCAGGAGTTCCTGCAAAAAGCGGCTGATCCGAGGAAAACTCCCCAGTGATTGCCATAAAATAAGGGGAAATATATATCTTATATATATATACGTACCTACATTTCAATATACGGATGTTTAAATATACGAACAGGTATTTTAGACTACCTCCGGGAAGGTTTTCCTTGGCCCGCCCAGCCATTTAAACATACGGAATCCAATTCATTTAAACATACTGCAACTACATTTAAATATACGAACTGGTATTTCATACTACCTCCGGGGCCTCGCGGTCTGGCCCGCCCTCCACATATTTGCATGTCGTTACGTGTATATATATATAGGAAAATTATGGTAATTTATCAAGAATCCATTTGGAATTGATGATAATCCATTGGAATTGCAGGTACAACTAAATCGGACAAACCAGTTGATCTTGTTGCATATGGTCAGATTCTACCACAATGTCATCGCTGATGCGTCCTGCTTCATTTGGTCCAAGAAGGGGCGCTGCCCAAACCACACGGAGAAGATTGCCTTGGCTGTTTACCCATCGTGTGGATCTGTAGCCATGAGCCATGGCATGCCGGGCATGCCGGGCATGCCGTAGCCAAATTTCTGTACCTCATCCCTGCACGGCCCCGCCTCAGAGAAGTGCCGCCCTTCAACACCACCCAACTCGCAGCCGTTCAGCTGCAGCGTCACACGGCCCCCTTCACCACGTGCTGGGTCGTACCCAAGGGTGTAGCAGTCCTGGCAGGGACGCACAGAGTCAACAGCCAAAACAGGCACAGCAAAAATCTGCTCCACCACGGACAACCAAGCTCGTCTTGCTGGATCATTCGGATGTCAGAATCTACCGGCAATCAAACATGACAATGGGAAATACCCATGTTTCAAAATCATCTGTAAACGAAGTGAAATGGACATTGAGCAAGCGTGACCTGTTGCCCCCCCCCGCCGGGTCCCCCGGTCCCCAACAGCCACGTCTCTGTACAGTGAATTGAAGGACTTCAACTTTGCCTGGCCAAAATGAATGACGTGAATACAACACTTTCTTCGTCGACGTTCAAGACCCAAGAAAACCAGATGTTCAATTTTTTGAGTGTAATATTACAGTGCAGCAACCTCAAAAACGCAAAATAGGTAGAATTTGCCGAAAGTTTAGGATTGGAGTGATTGGAGTTGAGTTTTCTGAATCTGTTTGGGGCTTTTCTATTGGTTGCTATAAAGCCATGACGCCCTTGACCCGGTTGACCTCTTCCGCCTCGTCGAAGCGGTGCCCGTTTCGAGACATGGCCCAGCCTGGCAGCGTTTCTGGTGACCTGGCCCAAAATTCCTGGGGGAAAAAAACACTTCCTGTAGAATCCTGGAAAACATCTTGAGAATGTCCTTAGATTCATCCTGATTTATTTTGAGTGCTTGAAAGTCCACAATCGATGTCTAAAGATGTCTAAGTCCCTAGCGGGTCACCCAGCGAAATTGTTCTCCAAGAAAACTACGACAGTATCGGAGCTCCTGCATGATCTGAAAATCCAGCGATAGATGGCTTTTTCTGTGCACAGAGCATGAGAATGTTTCTGTCTGTTTAAAAGTAAAAACATGCTTTAAAGCCGCTGTCTCAGTCAGCCAAAAACAACTTGTCAATGTCAATGACTCCGGAAAATTCAATCCTCCTTAATCAGGAACGCTTGTGCGGCACTGCGAATCAGGAACACTTTGGTCTACATCATGCCGTCTTCTTTCATGATTTGAGCGTAGAAAGAAATCATCTCAAGCTAATGTCTTTCAGATGCTATCAAACCATCTACATAATATCTACATTCTTTACATTTCTTGGAGACGAAACTGCACAGGAAAATGGAACCGCAGACTCACTATCTTTCCACCCAGATTTGTCATTGGGGTGAAATCCTCCCACCCAACGGAGTCCAGCATCTTCGGCAACGACGGGTCAGTGACATCAGAGCCTGCCATCACAGCGCGGCTCGCTGAATGATTTGATTAGCTGACTAGCAGAAAGCTGCCGGGCAGGTACCTGACAATGGCCTTTCTACATCTTCTGGGAGGTACCTGAGCTCGTGGCTTTCAGCTGTTCGGGTCAAGTAGCAAGGAAACTAAGGTCTGCACAGCACGGCGGCGCAGACCTGCGCGACTGGGATCCCATCACCAGTGGATCCGTTACGGATTCCAAAGGTCCTAAAATAAAGGTACACAGAGGTAACCTAAATCATCCAAACTTAGACCATTCTGAATTCTAGTATTTGAAACCCATGGCTTTGGGGATCCTCCATTTTTAGAAATCCCCATTGAAAGGCTGCTCGACATCAAGCATTTGACAAACCCACCTCCCAGCCATAGTACTTCAGGTGACAGCAGCCGTGTGCTTTAAGCCGCTTGCCGCCAAGCACCTGTAGGTAGAGTAGTCCAGAGACACAAAAAAAGGAGGGTACCCTAAAATTCCCATTACAATGGGAATCAATGGGGAAAGTACTGATAAACCATGATCAACCAGTGGATTTTCCGGTCCCCCATTGACAAACCCATTTTCTTTGATTTCCTAGGATTCAAGTTTCTGTGACAGGTCAAGCACTAGGTGTAGGCCTTGAAGTCTTTGAACTGAAAGCGCCCCACAGTGAAGTCCCTCGCCTTCGACAGTGACTAGATTGACTAGATCAATGTGTTTTTCTTCCAACCTAACGTATCATGTGGACGTTTCCTAAAATGGGAGTACCCCAAAATGAATGGTTTTAGAATGACACATCCTATTAGAATGGATGATTTGGGGGTACCCCCATTTTTTGGAAACCCTCCATGTCATAACATATGGGCCCCAGTTGCCTCAAATCAGAGGCAAAGACTGGACGAAACTGAAGGAATTTTCTATGACCAACGGATATGTCGGATATGACTGATATGACCTTTCAAGAGATTTCTATACAACAAACTGCCACCTGTGTGTATCAAACCTGAATAGTGCAAAAAGTCAGCTACCTTCGACATGGGCCGAAGCAGGTGGCGGCCTGCCTCCATGGAGCTCCGTTCCTCTCTCTCGCCTGGATCAGTTCACCATATCTGAGGGATCCTGGGTGGTACCAGGGTTATTGGGGTTATTGCCCGACATCACTGACACAGATCTGCCTTCACCAGCAAGGCTCTCACAAACTTTCTGTGCAGCTGCCCATGCACTGCTGCGGCTAGAGGAAAACCTGCTCAAATTCAAGAAAACCAGATGAAAGCAATCAGCAGGCATGTTCCGGTGAAAATGTCATATCAAAGCAACAAGTTTTGCGCCATGTGCAGCTGAAGCTGCCAAGTGCTGGGTGAACCGGAAGTGGCTGAGCCAAACCTGGCACCATGCCCGTGGCCATCTATTGGAAGCTTGCCAGAAATGGACAAAGCAAGATTTTTTTGCACAAAGGCCTCTCATGGCTTCTTAGACATATGAATCATGGTTCTTAATGGATCTATTAGTGGAGATATGAATGGATATGAATGGCTATTGTTAACCATTAATGGATAAATACGATGCAATTCTGCCCTGTGAACCCAGCGTGGTGCCCTACGAGTACCGCCTCAGTTGTGGCCAGTCCTGCGAGGTTCCGGCTGTTTGAAAAATGGAAAATCACCATCTTTTATAGATGTTTTATCATCTATATAAACAAGCCAGTTTATGCCAGTTCCTGCTAGTTCCATTGCTATAGTTTTTCCAAAACTTGCCTAACTTGGACCTGCCATTTGAAGCCCCTTCAGCTGAAACCACTAGTCACTAATCACCGATGTAAATGGAAGAGGCACGACCTGGTCGCACATCTTTTCACCGCAGCATCTTCTGCGTCTGCACTCGCGTCTCATCGAAACGGTCGAAGAGGTCAAGAATTGCCTGGACTGGGTACCTTGGAGTCGGCCCAATGGAACTGACATCACCCGGGCCCATTGGGGAATCTCTGCGAACCAACATCTGGTATCAACTGGTGAAGTTTGAAAACTTGGACATTTATCGCATTTACCAAGCCCCTGGAAAGTGCAACCCAGGAGAGCTCAAGGCAAGAAAGTCATAACATGTGCTGACACCTTGTGAGACTCCAAAAGTTGGGTCTTTGAGACTGTACCATAGATGCAGACTGCACTCCCAATCTTTGGATTCAAGGGGAGGATGTTTCAAGTTAAAAAGAGACCATCCACATGTGCACAACGAGATTTGCGACCAAATCAGTAAAGACAGATCACAAGCACCCGGCCTTTGTACGGTCAGATTCGCCACAAAGGGACAATTCCTTGACAGCTCTTCCAAAGACAATAGCCATAGCCACTTGCCTGCACCATTTCCTTGGAAACTTGGCCATAGGACAGAGTCATGTCGGGGTCTTGTAAACACCCCGAGCCCTTTCAAATGGTTTTTTCACACGGTATCGATTTTTTTCCTCTTATCGTTTTTCCAAGCGCTGGCTTCACACCTTCACCAAAGGATTCACATGAGCGAGGAAAGGGAAAAGGAAAAGGAAGAATAGAGGAAGGGAAAGGAAAGCATAGCAAAAGGGAGAGGAAAAGGAAAGGAAAAGGAAAACGAAAGGAAAAGAAAAAGGAAAGGAATAGGAGGAAAACGAAAAAGGAAAGAAAAAGGAAAGAAAAAGGAAAGGAGAAGGAAAAGGAGGGAACAGGAAGAGTAAAGGAAGGGAAAGGAAAACGGAGAGGAAAGGGAGAGGAAAGGGAGAGGAAAAGGAAAAAAGGACCGTGTCTCAAACGGACCATTTTTGATACCAAAAGTTATCGTTTTCGTTATCGTTTTGTTATCGTTCGTGAATCCTGTGTGTACGTTCCTTTTTTCTGGAAATGGCTGCAATAATCAAAAAACGCCATTACGACGACAAACAATGAAATGAAGAAACCAAAAACACTACAGTAAATAGCTGCAGAACGACGTAAAAATAAAAAACATTGGATTTCAAGAGTCTGGACACAGATCATCAACAGAACCAACGTTCAACGTTATCGTTTTTTTTTCCTCTTATCGTTTTTTCGAGTGAAAGCTCATGGGGGATCATGGAAGACTAAACGAATAGACGCGGGTTTTTTTACAAACTCCCATGTTGTGCCTTAGGCCCCCAATCCCTGACCCGATGCCAAGATATGACAAGTATCCGTGCCAGGTGATGGGTAGATTGTTCTTCCGCCACAGGGCACAAGTTTCAATTCTGTAGTTGCCGTAGAAAATCTCCTGGAATCGTCGGAAGCTGTCGCTGACCTCAGTGAAAAACCGGGCAACTCCTGGACCCGAGCTCCCCCGTGACGTGACGCCGTCAAATGTGCCAAGTGGCCGTGCAACATGGCTGCATGCTGCAACGTGGACGCCACCCATCGCGACAAACCGCCCCTTCCACTTCCACAAAATTGCCAAATATGTACTGGTGGTAGTCAAGAGTTACCGACCTTAGCTGGAAAACCATCCAGGAAACCGGAAGCCGAGAGAAATGGTATTGTCTACACACAGAATGACCGAAAGCAAGGCCTTGGTATATGATGATTGCTGGAAGACATGACGCAACGATCATGATGTCTGCATTTCAGTAGAGCAAACAAAATAGAACTCGGGAATATTAAGCTTTCAGGTTCGCACGAGGCACTCTAACAAAATTGATGTATGTCCTTTCTACATCTTTCTACATCTGTCCAACAGATCTGCTTTCTGGAGCGAAGATACACCCGTACCTCGCCAGCTTTGCCATTGGCAGGAACCTTGTAACTTTCTCTGTACAAAAACTTGCTGTACCATGTTACAGAGCTTCCACATCGGTCAAATGCAAATCATCGCGTCCCGTCATGAGCTTCATGAATTCGGTCTGGTCTGCCCTTCATTTTCCCAGATTGTTCCCACGTACAGTTTTCTCCTGAGCTTTGAAGTTGAACGAGATGCATCCAAGTTGAACGTAGTCAAGTTATGTCAAGTTCTGATCTTGCTGTACTCTTCCAGTTCACCCACGTCCAATAAACCGTTGCAGGTTCTGACCAAACATGGTCTCAAAACTCTGGGCCATCTTCGATCGGCCATTGTGAAAGGGCAAATCTGATCGGTATACCCGAACTGTGACGCTTGCAGCAGAACCACCACGATAGAAAATGTTCTTGCCGCGAAGCATGTGGATTTTATCTGTGTGGAAAGGTGGAACCATGTCTGCAGACACTTGCTGGACTGGGTGTTCACATTGAAGACCGACCCAACACTACTTGAGCCTCTTGCGGCCAATGCCTGGTTCATGTCAGCGCTACCTCCACCAATCAAGATGTAAGAGCATATCTGAAACTCAAGATCAGCAAGGACACACTTCAAATACACACAATACAAGTGCCCCAAAATCAATCACTCCATGTTGAAACTGTGAGGTTTTTGGTTTGCATGCACCAAGACTACTTGGAAATACACTTATATAAACCTTGTATAATGTGTACAGTATCTGTCAACAATTATGTTTTGTCTCTCCGCGCTGCCCTCACCCGACCAAGATCCTAACTCTGGATGCTCCCAGAAGTACATCTTGAAGAAGTATTGATCTGTCTCACCAGCTATGGCATCCTGGTCGTGAAACATTGGAAATGCGCAGTGTCTTGTGTTCTTTCGTGTCTCCTTGCTTTGATCGGCTGCTTAGCTATTTCAGCCTCACTTCTTCGGCATTTCGAAGCAACAATCCGCTGTACGGGTTTTCAACAAACCTTACCAAAGCAGCTGACCTGCGCAGTAGTCTTCCAGCGCAAAGGGTCACTGCCTGTCTTCCCTTCTCGCACAGCCGTAGCTTTGGCCAGTACCCATTGGAGGATTCGCAGCAAAGCCGGAGCAGGTCCAATGTACCCTCAGAAGCATGGCACAAGCAGCTTGGAGACAGCGAGACTCAGCTTCCAAAGAATTTGACACATCTGGCCTCCAGCATTCAGGTATTTTGAATCTGTGGGGGCCTGTGGATATCTCGAATCGTCCTGGCAAGCTTTCAAGCTCAGGGACAAACAAGCAAGGACATGATAGTGGAATTTAAAAGGAGAAACAGTCAAATTTGGCGCTTCGAAACAGATTCCTGCAAAAGTCGGTCTGAAGAACACTCTGATTCCTGTACCACCTTAAACGCATGAAGGCCTGAACTTTCATTTTTCATGTTCAACTGAAAAATGTAAGTTGAGACTGCCTGGTCGGAGCAAATGTGGCCACCACCCCAGCCACAGAGACGCTCCGAAGAGAAAACAACCTGCGGAGACCAGTCACAAATAGATCTGATACCCCACTGACCCGCTGGAGACTATTGAAGGCTTGGATCCCCACCGCTGCCAATGGCCCCTGCCTCCAAACGAGACCCAGCAACAATGGCCTGCAAAACCACTTTTGGACACAGCTTGAGGATGTTTGAGGAATGGACCAATGGAAGGAACAGCACTGCCATTCTCAACCACACTTTAAGTCGAAGGGAAGAGCTATGTGACATTATCTGACATTATCTGACTATCGATTGTTTTAAGATCCTCCACTCAAATCATCCTGGATTTTAAGCACGATGCCTCATATCGCTCGATGATGATGCGTGACACCGCCTTTCGACTGGGCCCGGCTTGAACCAGCCCAAATGATCCAAATGGGAAAAAAATGAATAAATCATCAAGATATCCTGGTCATGACATAGTAGCATAATCTGAATCTTACCAGCACTTTTTACCAGATAAACCATGGAAAACCCCAAGAATCACTCAGCCCAGTGATGTCGACGCCTCGGCCGGATGCAGATCTTTGAGTGCCGGGTCCAGCTGTATGATCTGCTGAAGGTCGTTAAAGATCACATCCTCGGCGTCCGCAACGTGCGATTATCCAACAGCATCATGTCAACTGGTGATTTATAAAACTGGCTTAGCAAGGAAAAACTATGAAAAATGAAAACTACAATAGACTATAAAAAACTATGAAAAATATTCTGGTCGGAAGCAAATGATAGCATCCATGCCATCGCTGATGATGAAGAGTCGAGGCCTCTGGACTCCTGTTTCTGCCAGGTACTTCTCTAAGAAGTTGCGGTAGAAGCGAAGTCTCATGTACATCCCATCCCATTCATGATTCTCACAGACGTTATGCACTGGCAAAGGTGTTGAGGCCCGAAGCAGGTGAAATACCGGGAAGTCCATGACATTCACATAGCGTCCACCACTGACACAGGTGACCACCTCCACACCGGACCAATGTGGATGTCTGGCATCGAAATGAAAAATCGGATCGCCCTCACCGCTTTCACGAGTGGCGAGCGGACTCTTCCATGCGTCAAAGGGCCTGGCAGCTGCAAACAGCTTGGGTTTTTCATGGGATATGAAGCTTTCCAAAGAACCACAATGCCAAAATGTATCCAAGAAATTTAAATGGTCTGTTCCAACAGCCCATCGCCATGTCGTCAACTCAAGCCCAACACCATGGTGCCCAACGTGCCACGCCTCGTGGCGGCGTGCTGCAGCGGCAGCAAACGCAACGTGGCGAAACGCAGCTGAGCCTCTGATTGCGACTGCAGCTGCAGATTCAGCTGCTGAACCTTGCAGAATCCAAGGGATGCCCTCTGGTAATGTGTTACATTTGCTATTGAACATGGCCATTGAAGTAGTTGATTTACCCTAAAATAAAAAATCCATAGTTATGTAACAGTTTGCCAGAGGGATAGTTCTTGCGCCAACCTTATCTTTTTTTTGACTTTGCGATTCCAAATAGACCATGAAAGGTCCTTTTTTTGGATGCTTTTGGGGGGTTACCCCAAAAGGGGAACACTACCCATTTTACTTAAGTCCCAGCTGCCCCGAGTTTTAGTTGGTTGAAGCTAGTTTTGTGTTGGCAAAGATTCCATCCATGCCGGTGGCCATTCCATCTTGGATACTAAACATATCTAAACATCCGGTTTGGGCTGCTTGACACTGTTTACAGCCCCTTTTTCACGCTAAATTCGCCAATGTGTTTCTGAACATCCCATCTTTGTTCATCAACATCAGGTTTCTCTTCCTTTTTTACATTCCCTGACGAAGTTCCCTTTCAAAAGATCTCTCAAACAAGTTTGTTTTTCCAAAAATTCAAAATATGGTGGTGTCCTAAAATAGCGGTACCCCCAGTCATCATCCATTTACAGATGGATTTTCTTTAAATTTCAAAACCATCCAGCTAGTGGGGTACCATGACTATGGAAACCTATATGGGGGAAGTTCTCCTCACCTGCTCTCTGATCTGTTGCCACTGCTGCTGCAGCCGCAGTGCCTCTTGCGCCAGCTGCGCCTCCGCCGCTGTGAGGTCAGCCTCACCTGGGTCACGCTGTGGGAGCTACGTCAGGTGAGATATGTTGGGTTGCTCCCAAGCACATATACATATATAAGGATGTGCATGTGTATATATATATATATGTATATACATATATATATACATATATACATATATATACATATATGTATATATGCGTAGACACATATCATATATATATATAACTTAATATAACAGGATGATTCATCATTGAACTGGGCTCCAAGTGATTGGGCCGTTGATCACCCCATTGATTCTTTTTGCGGCGAGGCAATCACTGCCCCCAAGCTGCAAGAAATGAATCGGATCACTTGGATGAACAAACATCTGTGGTGTGGGTCTATATTGTAGTGAAACACTATATAATACTATATATTATTTGAATGTATATACATGTAATACAAATCTAAAAATCATTAAAAATCTATATGATCTAAAATACCGGAGCTCCTACAAGCCTGTGACCTAGCTGCCGAGGTTTCACGCAGGTTCAATCTCGTTCATGGAAGAAATTGCGATGTTGGGTTGAAGGGTGGGGTTGGGTAGGGGGGTCAGGCTGCAGACGCAACCTGTGTTTTGGAATGCTTGGGACGGTGGCAGCGTGTCTTCAACATGCTGCCACTGCAAAAAACATTGGATGGCTGCCTTCAGACCAAGGTTTTCGTTCATCCAACGGCTGCGGACACTCATATGAAGCACATCTGAAAAAACCGTGGCGGTCCAGTGACGTTTTTCCAAAGCCAGCTCCCGGCGATCAAGCGCCTCTTCACGCTCCTGCATATTCCATCAGAATTCCGGGCTCTTTTGGTGATTTCTACCAGGTTTCCAGGTGTAATCTTAGAATATCTTGGAGTGCATCGCGAGAGTGATTTTGACTTCCTTTGATCTTATAAATTGTAATATCATTCTCACCCCACATCACCCCTGTAGGAAACTTAGATCGGGCACTTTGTAGAATATGTCCCCTGAAACTCCGCCACCTGCTCCTTGACTTTGGAAAGCGCTTGACTCCTGGGAATCAATGTGTTGAATGTCCAAATCTCTTTGATCCACGAGGGACCGGGAATCTGACACAAAGGGCAACATGCTGTTTGCACATATCGAGTGCAAACCGGTCCTGTCATCGGCAGCCTGCAGGGGTCACCAGCCACGTTAATCACAGACCGACAAACTACCAAAAGACTTGTGAAATTGACTCCTCTTCAATCCACTTCGATGACAAGCAAAAGAGCCCAGCCTTTGGATCTGGTTTTGCAAAAGAGGTATAGACTACGCTCTTGTCCTCGACCAAAGCAAGCATGTTCAACTCCGAAGCTATCCGTTTGCCCTTCAGGGGTGTTCCCAAGTGAAAACCCTTGGATTCAAGTGGTGAATGCTAAGAAACTCGAAATTTGGCAGTCCTCCTGCCACTGCACATTATGCATGGCATTGAATCCAACCTTTTCCTCAGATGACACGGTCCAGGCATTGAAGCTCTGGAATTTCCAGCAAAACTTCACATCATCAAATTTCGCCTTTTCACACCCCATCCTCTGAGCCCCTGAGCAACGGAAGATGAAATCCATGGCCGACTACAAACTCCCATTGCCATGCCATCGCCGTGCCAAGCCACGCCAGAGCGGAAGGGATACTCAAAGCGTTCCAGCCAATCGTGCACTGGTGCTTTGTACTTCGCATTTTTCACAGCTGGGGAAAGCCAAAGAAACCTCAGAACAAGAAATTGTTGATTCCAAGCAACAACTAGGTTTGTCTGGAAATAGGGCACCCCAAAACTTGATGGGTAATCATCAGTTCTTTTATCCAAAAAGCTATGTTGATATATTCCCAAGTTTCAGACAGCCTCAAATCTAATTCACCAATCCGTCTGCCAAGTCACTCTTGCACCACCATCCGATCAAGGAAAGGATATCTGGCCTCTACTCCATGAACTCCTGCAACCAATTCCTTGGTTTTGAAGACTACAGGGATGTGGCCACTCACCCAGCTGTCGGAAAGCTGCAGATCAAGAAGCTTCCTTCATCAGATAATCTCGCTGGGTGCCAAGGAAGAAAGCTTCCCAAGGGAATAGATCTCGCAGGTCTTCTGGAAACTGACCTCCCACCACAAATAGCATCATCTATTCCCAGACTCTCAAATGGATTTCCTTTCCGAGGTGATTAAAACCCCGTGGATTTCCTATTGTTTTGCCTCAAATAAACCCAATGATCCACTGTCTTCTAAATGCACAAAGTGTATGAAGCTCCGCCTCCGAAGTTTGAGTGCGGAAAGATCTTCTTCCCTGACAACGGACTGAGGCTTTTCTGTGGGTGCAGGAACTTGGCAGTGTTGCTCTACATACATTGACAGTTACTGGTTCCATTGTTGCACTTCTGTATTTCTATGTGCGCCTTCAAGAGAGTTCAGTTTTGATATACATATATACATACATTATATAATTGTATATATATATATGTTCATTTACTTGTTCATTCACTATTTCATTTTATCTATTTATTTACTGGCCTTATCTATCCTTATCTATCCTTGGCGTTTCCCCTGAACTTCCACCTGCATGGCCGTAGTCTGAGATGATCTCATCCGCCCCAGTGCCACTCAAGTAGACCAGGATGCCACGACGACGCACCTTGGATCAGCCAGGTATCAGGAAACAACTCGTGTCACTAGTTCAAAGAGCTTCAAATGGAGGTTTCCTGAAATAGGGCTACCCCTAAATCATCCATGTTGATAGAATTTTCTCTTATAAACCATCCATTTTAGGGTACACCGGTACACCCAATTTAGGAAACCTCCAAATATCATCCAGCTCAGCAATCCATGGCTTGGAACCCATAAGCGAACTCAAGCTCCCACGAAAAAAATCCTCCCGGCCTCCTGCATGATATACGACAAGCCCGAGGAAGCGGGATCTTCGGACACCAGAAACTCTTGTCCGCGAGATGCCCTGAGTCACAGGACCGCGATGATTTTCAGCCACAAATCACCAGGTTTCAGATGGGTATTCCCCAAAGAGTGATAATCTGATACTTAAAGGGTCCCCCCCAATTAAACAGACTAGGGGTTTATTAATCCAGGGTTGACATCATCAGTCAACGTTTGGGAACCCAAGCATGTTTTTTTGAGCAATGACGTCCAAGATATAGTACCTGCAGATGACATGGGAGTTGTCGAACATACCCAAAAAACGATAACTCCCATGTCATCTGTAAAGTGAAAAAAACAGAAAAATGCATAAGTCCCATGTCATCTGTAAAGTGCCTCGCAAAAAAAAATCACATGACACGGGACCTCTGCAATTGTTTGGGTTCTAAAAGATGCAAAACGTGTCATGTCAACTAAACTGACACACTGTACATTTCACATCCCACACAAAGATAGTATATGAGTGTATGACTACCTGCTAGCAGTTAGAATAATCCAACATTATACGTCAGCTGTTAGAATATTCCAAAGTCACATGAATCCATTCACCTCGTTCTATTTAGCAACTATCTAGCAGCTATTCAGAAGCTACTTGGCAATTCTTTAGCATTTATTCAGCAGCTATTTACCAACTATTTTGAAGCTATTTAGAAGCCATTTGTCAACTATTCAGCAACTATTTAGAAGTTGTGTTGCACCTATTTAGTAGTTATTCAGCAACTATTTAGAAACCATTTAGAAGCTATTTAGCAACTATTTAGCTGCTATTTAGCAGCTATTTAGCAACTATGTAGCAACTATTGAGCAGCTATTTAGCAACTATTTAGCTGCTATGTAGCAGCTATTTAGCAACTATTTAGCAACTATTGAGCAGCTATTTAGAAGCTTTGAAACTATTTAGCGGTTATTTAGCAGTTTTTTAAGCTATTTAGCAGCTATTTCAGTAACTATTTGGCGGCTACTAAAGCTATTTAGCAGCTATTTAATACAGGTAACTATTTAGCAACTATTTGGCAGACATTCAGCGTGTATTCAGCAACTATTTAGCAGCTACCTAGCACGTATTTAGCAGATCCCTGTGATAATTTTCTCTACAAAATAGTGCGGCAAATAAGGAGGTGCAAACACCTCTCGAGCCAGTGCAGGGCCACCAGTTCAAACTTTGTCTACAAAATACAGGATTGAGCGTCGTCAAATATATTATATATATATGTATATATAATGCTATACATGTCATGTGCTTTACATGCATGAAAATTGAATACGATTTTTATTGATACCAAGATTGAACAACATTGAACCTTAGATAACTCACATTTCGTATATAGAGTTGCATGAACTACCTGTGCATACACAGGGCACACCAAGCCTTTAAAAAATATCTAACTATTATTAAACACATATGCACAATTTTAAGATTTCAAAAAATTACATAATAAGTTTTTTCTCATTTACCCATCATAAACGTGACATTTCTCATTTTCTCGTTGTGTCCCTCCCATTATAGGCTTCCCCGTTGACCCTGTGTGTTACCCCCGTTGCGCTAAAGTTTTATGTGTGGCTTACCTCCGTTGCCGGGTCGAAGTCCTCGAGCCGGGCTCTTGGAAGTCCCATGTCATGTGGTAAATTCAACTCCCTTGGATGTCCCATCTCCTGCGGTTAAATTCCTCTTCCTGTCTCCCTGCCTGCCAGTTCCGGCCTTGGAAGTCCCATGTCATGTGGTAAATTCGTCTCCCTTGGATGTCCCATCTCCTGCGGTTAAATTCCTCTTCCTGTCTCCCTGCCTGCCAGTTCCGGCCTTGGAAGTCCCATGTCATGTGGTAAATTCGCCTCCCTTGGATGTCCCATCTCCTGCGGTTAAATTCCTCTTCCCGTCTCCCTACCTGCCAGTTCCGGCCTTGGAAGTCCCATGTCATGTGGTAAATCCGTCTCCCTTGGATGTCCCATCTCCTGCGGTTAAATTCCTCTTCCTGTCTCCCTGCCTGCCAGTTCCGGCCTTGGAAGTCCCATGTCATGTGGTAAATTCGTCTCCCTTGGATGTCCCATCTCCTGCGGTTAAATTCCTCTTCCCGTCTCCCTACCTGCCAGTTCCGGCCTTGGAAGTCCCATGTCATGTGGTAAATTCGTCTCCCTTGGATGTCCCATCTCCTGCGGTTAAATTCCTCTTCCTGTCTCCCTACCCTGCCAGTTCCGCCTTGGAAGTCCCATGTCATGTGGTAAATTCGTCTCCCTTGGATGTCCCATCTCCTGCGGTTAAATTCCTCTTCCCGTCTCCCTGCCTGCCAGTTCCGGTCTTGGAAGTCCCATGTCATGTGGTAAATTCGTCTCCCTTGGATGTCCCATCTCCTGCGGTTAAATTCCTCTTCCCGTCTCCCTGCCAGTGCCCAGTTCCTCACCTCTGGAAATTCCTGTCCCAGTTCCCACGATGCCCAACCTCCCGCGGTAAATTCCTCTTCCCGTCTCCCTACCTGCCAGTTCCGGCCTTGGAAGTCCCATGTCATGTGGTAAATTCGTCTCCCTTGGATGTCCCATCTCCTGCGGTTAAATTCCTCTTCCTGTCTCCCTGCCTGCCAGTTCCCACCTTGGATGTCCCATCTCCTGTGCTAAATTCCTCTTCCCATCTCCCTACCTGCCAGTTCCCACGATGCCCAACCTCCCGCGGTAAATTCCTCTTCCCGTCTCCCTACCTGCCAGTTCCGGCCTTGGAAGTCCCATGTCATGTGGTAAATTCGTCTCCCTTGGATGTCCCATCTCCTGCGGTTAAATTCCTCTTCCTGTCTCCCTGCCTGCCAGTTCCCACCTTGGATGTCCCATCTCCTGTGCTAAATTCCTCTTCCCATCTCCCTACCTGCCAGTTCCCACGATGCCCAACCTCCCGCGGTAAATTCCTCTTCCCGTCTCCCTACCTGCCAGTTCCGGCCTTGGAAGTCCCATGTCATGTGGTAAATTCGTCTCCCTTGGATGTCCCATCCCATCTCCTGCGGTTAAATTCCTCTTCCTGTCTCCCTGCCTGCCAGTTCCCACCTTGGATGTCCCATCTCCTGTGCTAAATTCCTCTTCCCATCTCCCTACCTGCCAGTTTCCCACGATGCCCAACCTCCCGCGGTAAATCCTCTTCCCGTCTCCCTACCTGCCAGTTCCGGTCTTGGAAGTCCCATGTCATGTGGTAAATTCGTCTCCCTTGGATGTCCCATCTCCTGCGGTAAATTCCTCTTCCCATCTCCCTCCTGCCAGTTCCCACCTTGGATGTCCCATCTCCTGTGCTAAATTCCTCTTCCCATCTCCCTACCTGCCAGTTCCCACGATGCCCAACCTCCCGCGGTAAATTCCTCTTCCCGTCTCCCTACCTGCCAGTTCCGGCCTTGGAAGTCCCATGTCATGTGGTAAATTCGTCTCCCTTGAATGTCCCATCTCCTGCGGTTAAATTCCTCTTCCTGTCTCCCTGCCTGCCAGTTCCCACCTTGGATGTCCCATCTCCTGTGCTAAATTCCTCTTCCCATCTCCCTACCTGCCAGTTCCCACGATGCCCAACCTCCCGCGGTAAATTCCTCTTCCCGTCTCCCTACCTGCCAGTTCCGGTCTTGGAAGTCCCATGTCATGTGGTAAATTCGTCTCCCTTGGATGTCCCATCTCCTGCGGTAAATTCCTCTTCCCGTCTCCCTATCTGCCTGCCAGTTCCCACCTGCTGTGGTAAATTCCTCTTCCCATCTCCCTACCTGCCACTTCCCACCTTGGATGCCCCACCTCCCGCGGTAAATCCTCTTCCCGTCTCCCTACCTGCCAGTTCCGGTCTTGGAAGTCCCATGTCATGTGGTAAATTCGTCTCCCTTGAATGTCCCATCTCCTGCGGTAAATTCCTCTTCCTCTCCCTGCCTGCCAGTTCCCACCTTGGATGTCCCATCTCCTGTGCTAAATTCCTCTTCCCATCTCCCTACCAGTTCCCACGATGCCCAACCTCCCGCGGTAAATTCCTCTTCCCGTCTCCCTACCTGCCAGTTCCGGCCTTGGAAGTCCCTGTCCATGTGGTAAATTCGTCTCCCTTGGATGTCCCATCTCCTGCGGTAAATTCCTCTTCCCGTCCCCTACCTGCCAGTTCCCCCTTAGGTGTCCCATCTCCTGTGGTAAATTCCTCTTCCCGTCTCCCTGCCTGCCATTCCCACCTGCTGTGGTAAATTCCTCTTCCCATCCTCCCTACCTGCCACTTCCCACCTTGGATGCCCCACCTCCCGCGGTAAATCCTCTTCCCGTCTCCCTACCTGCCAGTTCCGGTCTTGGAAGTCCCATGTCATGTGGTAAATTCGTCTCCCTTGGATGTCCCATCTCCTGCGGTAAATTCCTCTTCCCATCTCCCTATCTGCCAGTTCCCATCTTGGATGTCCCATCTCCTGTGGTAAATTCCTCTTCCCATCTCCCTTCCTGGCAGTTCCGGCCTTGGATGTCACATCTCCTGTGGTAAATTCTTTTCCCATCTCCCTACCTGCCAGTTCCCACCTGCTGTGGTACATGTTTCCTCCGTACCTGCCAGTTCCGGCCTTGGAAGTCCCATTCCGGCCTTGGAAGTCCCATGTCATGTGGTAAATTCCTCTTCGCATCTCCCTACCTGCCTGCGGTAAATTCCTCTCCCCCTTCTCCCTAGCTGCCAGTTCCCCCAGTTCCGCATGCCAGTTCCCATCTTGGATGTCCCACCTCCTCATCTTGGATGTCCCATCTCCTGTGGTAAATTCCTCTTCCCATCTCCCTATCTGCCAGTTCCCATCTTGGATGTCCCATCTCCTGTGGTAAATTCCTCTTCCCATCTCCCTACCTGGCAGTTCCGGCCTTGGATGTCCCATCTCCTGCGGTAAATTCCTCTTCCCATCTCCCTACCTGCCAGTTCCCACCTTAGATGTCCCATCTGCTGTGGTCAAATTCCTGTTCCCATCTCCCTACTTGGCAGTTCGCACCTCCTGTGGTACATGTTTCCTCCCTACCTGCCAGATCCGGCCTTGGAAGTCCCATTACGGCCTTGGAAGTCCCATGTCATGTGGTAAATTCCTCTTCGCATCTCCCTACCTGCCAGCTCCCACCTTGGATGTCCCATCTCCTGCGGTAAATTCCTCTTCCCGTCTCCCTATTTGCCAGTTCCCACCTTGGATGTCCCATCTCCTGTTGTTCCCTACCTGCCAGTTCCGCCTGCCAGTTCCCATCTTGGATGTCCCACCTCCTCACCTTAGATGTCCCATCTCCTGTGGTAAAATTCCTCTTCCCATCTCCCTACCTGCCAGTTCCCACCTTGGATGTCCCATCTCCTGCGGTGTAAAGTCCCATGTCATGTGTAAATTGGCTCACTTATTCTCATGTCATCTGTCAAAAAAATGGAAAAATGCCTGCCTGTTAGGTCGGCGCATAACTCCCATGTCATGTGTAAAATAAAAAACCATAGCAAAATCGATACATAAATTCCATGTCATGTGCCAAAAAACATCGGCTAAATCGGCCGCAAAGTCCCGTGTCATCTGCGCCTAGTATAGATTGCACAATAAAAATGGCAATACGAAAGAAATCACCAGAATTTGCAGGTCCCAGGTACAAAAAACTGATCCGTCCCGATATGTGTCCCTCCCTATGGCCCTATGGCCCTATGGGAGCCTGTAGTGGAAAGGCTCACACTGTTCTGCCAAACGCAAGGCCTGAATGGGGGACAGGGGGATTCCACGGGGCATTGGGTTTTGCGGATCACAAGTTCTCAGAAGTTCTCAGTTTCGGCACCAAGAGTTTCTCAACAGACTACCCTAAATCGTAGGGAACTTGATGTGAAACCTAGCAGATCTTTCTATGAGCCGAGCAGCTTCACGCTCAAGATCCATGCCACTTAGGACCTTGCAGCGCCAGAGGAGTCTTCAAGTTAGAATGAATTGCTTTTTGAACGACTCATGGTGGAGCAACGTTCACGTCAAAACCCAATTTTTGACTTGATAGTCGGAAGCGCCACTGAGCCGGGGGTTGGGGAATGACAAATCCACCCACTACCCCTACTACCCCACACAATTTGCGATTTGGGTCATGTTTGACTGTCAAACCATGGGCAAACCATGGGCCATCAGGTTTGCATCGTGCGCCAAGAGACAATCACATTTGTCTCTGTCCAGTTGCCAGCCCAAGCAATTCGCTGTTTCAAGATCTCCATGTCTTCTGTAGAGTGCACAGTGTAGGCAAAATGTCCAGTCCTCTGCAGCCAATGTTGCAGAAGATTGGCAGCATGGCCGATCTTCAATGGGATATCCGACCATGCGCGATACACATCAATACACTCAAATTTACAAATGATCTTGACAGGAGGCTTTGCTGAATAGGAGCATGCAAAAGACAGAGCAACCCAAAAAGTACAAAGGTTGGTTCATCTATTTGTTTTTCATCTATTTTGTTTGCCCCCATCTGAAGCTGTCGCCGCCGGACGCTGGTCCTCTCGTGCACTAGTGCCACATGGATAGCTCCACTGTCATAACCTGAAGAAAGCCCGATGAACATCGGATGGATAGCATACTGAATGCGCTTCTGCACTGCATTTGCAAAGGCAGCTTGGAAGTCACTGGTATCCTGGCGGAAGGCTCAGCAGCTGGGGCGATGAGGCCTACCTGGATCTGAGGCCTAGATACCTTGATGCGCAAGTTATTGAATTGTTGGTTCTAATTTCTACATATACATACATACATACATACATTACATTACAGTACATTACATTACATTACATTGCATTACATTACATTACATACATACATACATGTATACATACGAGTGTATGTATGTATGTATTGTATGTATTGTATGTATTGTATGTATTGTATGTATTGTATGTATTGTATGTATTGTATGTATTGTATGTATTGTATGTATTGTATGTATTGTATGTATTGTATGTATTGTATGTATTGTATGTATTGTATTGTATTGTATGTATTGTATGTATTGTATGTATTGTATGTATTGTATGTATTGTATGTATGTATTGTATGTATTGTATGTAGTGTATGTATTGTATGTAATGTATTGTATGTATTGTATGTATTGTATGTATTGTATGTATTGTATGTATTGTATGTATTGTATGTATTGTATGTATTGTATGTATTGTATGTATTGTATGTATTGTATGTATGTATGTATGTATGTATGTATGTATGTATGTATGTATGTATGTATATATATATTCATATATACATATATACATATATACATATATATATATATATATACATATCATATATACATATATATATACATATATATATGTATGTATATATATATATATCATATATACATATATATATATACATATATATATATATGTATGTATATATATATGTACATACATATATATATATATACATATATATATATATGTATGTACATCTATATATATATACATATACATATATATATACATATATATATATACATATATATATATACACATACGTATATATGTATGTATGTGCCTACGGGTTGAAAACCGAACCAGCATTTTGCATGTTTCTATGTCTTTCATGGGGTTAACGGGGTGGGGTGGGGTGGGGTGGGGTAATAACGTTCATTTGCACTGCCTGACATACATGATGCTACACTGCTGTACGTCTTTTTGCACTTCCTCACATGCATGATGCTACGCTGCTGTACGTCTTCTTGCACGTCCTCACATACATGATGCTACGCTGCTGTACGTCGTCTTGCACCTCCTCACATATATGATGCTACGCTAGTGTACGTCGTCTTGCACTTCCTCACATACATGATGCAACGCTACTGTATGTCGTCTTGCACTTCCTCACATATATGATGCTACGTTAGTCTACGTTAGTCTTGCTCAATGGCAAGATTTGGACGCATGTTCGCCCTTGGCAGTGGAGATGGGAAAACAGTTCCCACAAAAACCTCTCCAAGCTCACTGCAGAAATTGTGAAGAACACTTAGCGCAGAAAAAAAGAGAGTGCCGCTGAGGTTTTTTACATATCCAGTGAAAAGTACGCGCGTACTTTTTAAGGAAATTGAACTTTGAGAGAGATGCAAAACCACTGTGATTTGTGGTATGAAATCAATGACGAACACTGCAAACGTTGAAAACGCGGGTTCGATAAACAACCCGCCGGGATGTATGTATATATGTTTTTACATACGTGTATAATACAGTAATATCTAGGTATGGATCAACACCCGTCAATGCACCGTGGTCAACATCAGAATAGCTGGCGGAAGGATTTTCATCCCCCCGAATGTATAGGTCTTGATCCATCCCCATTTGGTGGTTTCAATTTCACCCTCTTTGCTGAAATCTATTTCTGGGCCTGTCAGGCAGGGTGCGATTTGCTTGATACAAGGGCACCCCCTCCACCCTGGGAAGTTTTTGGCCTGTCCTGCTTGAACTGTCGAAGGTCAAACTCGTGCAAGGCATGTCGTTGGATCTTCAAATCCATCTGTCGAAGGTCAAAAATCATAATGCTATTGGGATCCACCATGCGCACAGCTCCTGGTCGAGCCAAGAACTCAGCTGAAACCCCTTCTGCCTTTGTAATCTTTTGTTCGTAAGGGGGTTGGTGTTCAACCCTCAATAAACCACCATCATTTGGGCAGGTTTCACCTCACCAAACTTCACATGGCTCAATTTCCATCAGATGTCTTGCTGTGATGACAAAGTGCAGCGAATCACAGCCGGTGCTCCTGGTGGTATGCCCATGCGAAGCAAAGCACTCTGGTAGCTGGCTACATGGAAGCCTGAACGCTGCCAACGCCAAAGCATTGTGGCATGGATGGAATTAAGGTTGGATGCATACCATACGTGGTCATGTGTGATGATTATAGCGCCGGACAACTACTTAGAACATCGTTTTGGAAATTTTTCGGTGGGTACGCGCGCTCTACTTAGAACATTTTCGGCGAATAGGGGGACGTATGTTCTAAGTGACTTAGAACATATGAGGATCCTCTACTTAGAACATGCCATCATATATACATGTAAATATATGTATATGTATACATACATACAACTTAACACTGCATATTTATATTATATATACAGGTGGTGTGATGTTGCGTTAAGATACATGGAGATGTCTATATTGAGGTATATTGAAATTATATGACCGATTGAGCGGTTGGAATGGTCCAAAGCCTACAGCGGGACGAGATTCGAGATAAATAGGTACATATATTGAGCTGAACAAAATGAGCGAATGGATCCGGATGCTCTAGGTGAGAGGCTACAATTCGAACATCAGGTTTGGAAAGTTTTTATTATATGAATATATAGTGCCGGACAACTACAATATTAAAAATATATTATATATACACAGGATTTTCCAAAAATGCACGTAGATAGCTGGGGAGATTCTTACTTAGAACATGGGGGAACCCCCAAAACCTCTACTTAGAACATCCCGTGAACATATATGTTCTAAGTAGTGGTCCAGGATCTCTACTTAGAACATGTTTTGGAATTCCAAAACCAATGTTCTAAGTATATGTCCGGCACTATACATAAATATGTATGTGTATAAATATATATATATATTATATGATTGTATATATGTACAGAACATCACTTATGCTTGTAGACAAGTATCATGCACCCTTCAGAGATCCCATGGCTGAAGAAACATGAACAAAGACGCCTTGGTAGGTTGAGAACCACAAGGGTTTGGTGGAGAAGATGTCCTCAGTTTCGCATGGAGCGCTCTGATGGAGTCACAATTTCATTTCTTTCTGATCGCCACTAGAGAAAAGATGCCCGGTGAGAAATTACAAGCGTCCAAAATGTCCAATGTCCAACTCCAAACAGTCTTAAATCAGCAAAGCCTCAGAAGAGATGATGGCTTTTCGCCGTCGAAAGTCCAGGAGTGCAATGGCGAACTCCCCATCGAGCATGCCTCGGCGAAATTCCAGCCATTGCGCACCCCAAAGACCAATGACCAATGCTACTTCCCCATTCTTAATGGTTCTTTTGAGTGTATGAACGTATCCCGGTTTTTGGACAAACCAATATATCACTCCAAAGCAGCTTGAATCCCCATTTTGATTTGATATGATTTGATTAACTCGGTTAACTCCCATTTTGTGGTTAATTAGCCCATCAAAACCCCCAAACATGGGGATTTAAGATCTTTGACTCAAATTGGCCATTGCACATGAACCAACAACTTTCACCTGTTAACCTTTCAACCCCAAAAAAAATCCATGGGTGGCCAGGGGACCCTCCAGCACCGTTGAACCACCGAGAGACGTGTGAAGAGATCACCTCTCTGGAGGTACAGCGGGACCAAGGCCTCTCCATCGCTGGTGGACTCGGGCCGCAGGGCTTTGAAGTTGTAGATCTCACCGTTGTAGACCAGAACCACCTGGGTACTAATAGCTACACCGGAAAACACGAGGGCAAATATGAGATACAGTACATGTATATATAGGCTCGTCCAGGCTTCTGGAACTACATACGATGGGGTAAAGGGGTGGGGTGGGATGTTAACGTTCATGTGAACTTGCGGCAGGATGTTAACGTTCATGTGAACTTGCGGCAGCAGTTGATGCTACGCACACGCGGGGTGGGGGGGGTGGGGTGGGATGTTAACGTTCATGTGAACTTGCGGCTCGATGTTAACATTCATGTGAACTTGCGGCAGCAGTTGATGATGATGTGATGATGATGATGATGATGATGATGATAATGACCCTAATGAAACTTGTTAATTCCGCGACGAAATTTCGTCACGGAATGGACAAGTTTTACCAACCTAATTCAGGTTTAGGTAGTTCCAGAAGCCTGGACGAGGCTATATATACATATATATCCATATATATATATATATACATATATAATTGTATATATATATATATATAATATATATATATATAATATGTGTATATATACATATTGGGTAGTATGGCCATGTATAACATTGCAGAACCCCCAACTAATCATCAACCAACAGGGGTGTAGCTGCTCACAATGGAAAAAGCTGCCCATCTTGGATGTCAAAGGTCGTTTTTAAACATCACAAAACATTTGGGGACTCTTGGAAAGCAGAGAGTCCCAGTGATTCCCACTCATTAACTTAAATCTGTTGCACTTAGAAGATTCGTATGCATGTAGAAAAAAGGGCCTCGACATTGAATGCATCTCAAAGACTGTTGGTGAAGATGTTAAACGAACAAGCACTCCCAATTCTTGAGTTGTGCAGAGTTGTACCAGCATCAAATCTCGTTCTGCTCACAAAATTAAGAAAGTCGCCTCTCCTAAATCCAAGGCATCCCTCATTTTTTCCCATGAGCATTTCGGGCGTGCACCTGGCGATCATCGCTGGTGAAGGGCTGTGGAATACGCTCGCCTGGAAGTTATCCGGAGCTGGCTCCAAATTCAGATGGACCCTTTCTGTCTCTTCATGAATGACGCTGAAAACAAACCCGGACCTGCAAAAAAAATGGGTTTGAACATGTTTGGAAAATCATGCTCTTTATCCAGAGGTCCAGAGAGCGATCTTTGGGGTTCCATACAAGTTTTCTGGGGGGGCACAAACTGCACGTTTGGGGCATGGAAAGTATGTATGTATGTATATATATAGAGAGAGAGAGAGATATGGCCATATATACATATTATACTCTATATATATATATGTATACTGTGCAAATATATAATATATGCATATATATATATATGGTCCCGAGTCAAAATTGTGTATGGAACGTTCCGCGGTGTTCCGGACGTATGGAACGAAGGGGCTTCGTAACTGGTCTTGTTCCGGACCTTTGGAGTGTGATGAAATATGGGCCATACATAAGTAAATAAATAAATATATATATATACATTATATGTAACACATATAATATACATCTCAAGGATATGCACGTTGAAGCTACTCCTCATCTGCACGACATCCTTGTTGTACACCTGTTCAACGCAGGTTTGCCTTGCATGGCTAGTGCTCGTGCACTAGATACGACACGACCGGTAGCCAGTGTCACCCACTGGCTACCATGTGAAGCTGTCGACTCAGCTTCAGACCTGTCACGCAGGTCCCACCTCCTACTCTTAAAACTCAGAGGTCCCTATGGGGTAGATTGTGTCCCTGCATAGCAAGACTCTACCCTCCCATAACCCACGCGCAAAGGATGGCTTACGAGCAGTCTATGTATGTGAGAACCTGCCATGTGTTCACCAGTGGGTCAGGGGTGGTACATGGGTGGTCCAGGTCTGGAACGGGTATGGAACGGTATGGAACGGTATGGAACGGGGTCTGGAACGAAACGGCCCACTCCAGCACAGCACTGCCACCACGCAGCACATCTTTATCAAAATTCGCAGTTTGGAGCGAGAATAGCGCAGCAAGCAATTCTTAGACTGCCAGCTGGCAGCAGCCAAGCGCATCTCTACAATCAAACACCACAGCTGTGCCACAGCCTGCAGCAACTTTAAGTGGTGCAGGCACAAACCTGCCACAGGTTGAGAGGGAGGGAGGGTTACAAGCAATCCATTCTTAGACTGCCAGCTGGCAGCAGCCAAGCACATCCCTACCATCACACAACAAAGTAGGTAGCAGCTGTAAGTGCTGCAGGCACAGACTTGCCAACACAATCACAGGGCTTGGGCATAGTAAACGTATTCTTGCATGTATGCACTCATGTATGTACGTGCGCTCATATATGTGCGTACAAATGTAAAATCAGATTGCACATAATCAAATATATATATATATAATTGTGTATATATATATATAAATAATAATTATATATAATTATATATATATAATAACGTATGGATCAGAGGTATGGAACAGAGGTATGGAACGGATCCTTCAAGGAGGTATGGAACGGGGGTATGGAACGGGGGTATGGAACGGGTGTGGTCCCGGAGCTTGTTCCGGACCTCCTATTTTGACTTGCCCCCTATATATATATATATACAGTATATATATATATATATATATATGCTCACATATTCACCGGCATTAGCATTTGCCTATCTGCATTCAAGGCGCCTGTCATGTGAAGCAAATTGTGGACGAAGGTAAAGTTGTGAAGGTTGATGTGTGTGGTGAGGTCTGGCCCTCTGGGTCGCATGAAGAAATTGACATAGGTCAGGTTGCTGAGAAGCCAGCTGCTCACCAGAAAAGAACACATGGCACACTCACCGGGCGCCGCCCGGGGACGGCACTCGCTGTGGCAGCGAGTGCTGGGTGAGCTTTGATCTTCAGGACAACTGGCTGAAATGATGCCGAAACTCTGTATGAAGAAGTAAAATTCAACTGTTGACTAGGGTATCTCAAAAAAAAACAAGCGCTAACCTTACTGTTCATTTCTCTTCCACTTTGAAGATGCTCCAACGTTTTGATCTTCGTTTCTGGTCGCAACTGGTAGTTGTTGCTGTTCAAAGCAAAGTTCCAGAGATTCCGTTTTGAATCAGAATGCCACAGCTGACTTCAAAGACATCCTCAACAAGTGATCTAGCTACGGCCTGCAAGGATTTCCGCACAACAACTTTGGCTGCTGAAGGGTTGGAGCAAGAGTTTGCTGGACTACTTCTAAAACTGAGATGAGCCTTAAAATCTGGGATTCACCTATCAGCTTTGCCATCGCTGCTGAGTTGGAGCATTCACTACAGAACTCACTTGATCTGTGTGTATTAAAACTGCTGGCCTCCGCAAGTCTTAATGTTTTGGGAAGTGTGACAGCTGCCATCCAATCATAAAACCACTGAGGCCCGCTGGTCCTGATCGCCTGCCACCCAAGCGGCACCTGATCATTTTCGATCATCCAGTCATAATGTCAAAAACCCAGTCATAAATACAGTCAATTATTCCCAGTTATACCATAAATGGGTTGTATACACATGAATGGGAGGTTTATCAGTGGAATTTGCCCCGTTTATCTCCCCATCAATTTCATAAACCCAAATCGAGACTGATTTTACTTAGATCTTGTTCGGAATTATGCAAGGGGACTCTTGCACTGACTATTGCGTCTATCACTGGAACAGGGCAGCCTCTTTCATTGATCAGTGACTTCGAATGGAGTCTTTATGCAGCCACTTTGATTCTAACTGAGCAGTGTCAAAAAACATCATGGAATGATTATAACTTACCATCCACGGATGATTCCATGATTCTTAATATTCCCAATATTAATTGCGTGTCCCTCAGTGCTGCACCTACCGCGGCAGCGGACAGGCAGGAGACAGAAGTCACCGAAGCATGGCGAGCCACATGCATCTGGCAGCACATTGCTAGATGCATCCCAGGCAAGGCAAGTGGCTTTCGTATGTTGTGGTAACAAATGGCGAGAGTATTACTCGCCTAGTAAGTCCCCTATCAACGATATAAAACGCGAATGGTTCGAAAAAAATGGTCATCCATGCATGCACAGAGTAACTGGTCAGTTAACTCACCAGGCCTTCAAGCGCGATGCTCGCGATGCTCGTGCACCACCGAGACCGGCCAACACGCCGCCCAGCAGAAGATCTGGCAGGATGGATCCCCGTCACCGATCATCTTCTATTGTCTTCGATCCTAGCTTTCCTCCATTCCAAACAGTACTGAATATATCTGAAAATCAAAGATCATGAACATCTCCCTGATCTCCAGCCTTGCAAAGCGATCCATCCGCTCATCACGGCAAGGGGGATTAGGGTAGACCGCAGGGGGTCTCAAGAAAAGACCTGCTGTATTGCGAAGATCACAAAAATCAGACTGAATTTGGGAAAACCCTGAAGCTTGAGGCAAGCTGTTCATGTTTACATTGTCATCCGGGTGCTTAGCTGATATCCGTTGCAGCTTTGTTGGAATGCAACACCTTGTCATCCTGAATGCGGCAATCTGCGACAATCATCTCTGTGATTTTGGGCTCCATGTGGGTGATAAACATCTTTGATGCTACTATTGTCTCTGGGCCACACAGGAACGGCAGTTTTCAAACAAAAACTGACACCCATTTGATAAGCTAAAGTTCATTGAGTCATCAAAGTTAGTAATCAACAAAACTGACAGGACATATATATATATACACACAATCATAATTACAGTATGTATTTATGCATGTGATGTGATGTGATGTGATGTGATGTGATGTGATGTGACGTGACGTGACGTGACGTGACGTGACGTGACGTTAGGTAGGTAGGTTAGGTAGGTAGGTAGGTAGGTAGGTAGGTAGGTAGGTAGGTAGGTAGGTAGGTGTGTGTATGTTTGTATGTATATTCCCTTTGAGATATCTTAAGTTTTAGCCACAAGACACAGAAAATGCCCTGGCGACCCGCCTCGCCGCAGGTGAACTCCCTGCAGTGGGTGGCGCTACGGCTGGGCGCCCGTTTATCAGGAAAATGTTCGAGAAAACCCTGTGTTTCACAAGTTAAATTCAGTGGTGGATGATGATAAATCATTCAAATGATCCTTAAAATACTTTAGAATCTTTAGAATACTTTAAACCAATCGAATGAACATATCATGGACATCCCAAAACAGAGCGATGGATCGATATGACTTTGAGAATGACAACAGAATCCGGGAGCTTTGGGCTCGTCTGACTGGCTGGTTCCCACCCCCCTTTTGCAAGACAAAGCAGGATGGATAATCCCAAGACTGAAAATCAGCAACAGCTAGCTGCTATTCTTGAAACAAATCTCAAAAAAGGCCAATGTTGCAACAACTTTGAAGAAACAACCAAATTGTGTTCCGTCCGTTGAGTTGCTGGCTTTGAAAGAGTTCATTGGGAGTTTCTCCGTCCCCAATGATTCCCAATGAGACATCCAGAAGCCTTGTGGCTTTGTCACAGCAATTGGTGCCCACAGCCCAGAAGTCCACGGTGCCGCTCTGGCACGGATCGGTCAAAAGGCTCTTGGGCTTTCCTGAAACCTCCACTAAGACACTAAGATAATCAAATCGTCTGGATGGACTCAAGCTTATGAAAATCACCAAACTGGAGTACATAGAGTCTACATAGAGTACATGAAAAGTTAAATGAACCCATTGGATAGAACTTATAGAACTTCAGTCAGAAAAATTCAGCAAATACAAGGCCTCCGGCATCACAAAGTCCCCCTCCCGAGCCACCTGAGCTTCTCCGAAAACGTGAGATTACCAGCGTATGTCGCAGAACACGGCTAAGGGATCAAAAAAAAACAAATAAGGATCAAAAAAAAACAAAATCGAGGGATCAAAAAAAAACAAATAAGGATCAAAAAAAACAAATAAGGATCAAAAGAAACAAATAAGGACGATCGTAGTGAAAATCGTCAAGAAACTGCGGAAAGGGAGGATCAAAAAAAAACAAATGGGAATACATATGAATAAAAACGAAAGAGAGTAGATAGCAAGGGAAGTCGATTAAAAAATAAAAGCGGGTGGGGGGGTGCAGGGGGGAGGGCGCAGCGCCTCAATGCGTACCAAGAAAGAAGCACACAGGCTCAAGTCTCGATGGATATAAATAAAGATTAAGAAAGAGAAGATAAACCCAAAGAAACGATACCTATGAAAAAATGAAAGAGAGCAGGTAGCAAGGGAAGCTGATTAAAAAATAAAAGCGGGTGGGGGGGTGCAGGGGGGAGGGCGCAGCGCCTCCCCCCGCAATGCCTCCCCCCGCAAAGCGTCACATGGTCATGATACATTTCGCAGGGCCTTATCATCCACCTTTGTTGCGCTGTCACAGCATACAGCGGATTACAGCGGCAGCAGTAGTACCGTAACACTAAACGTAGCAGTTGGTGGGCCATACCATCCACCTTTTTGTGGCAACAAAGGCTTGGCCAGAGCTAGTTTGCGCGCTTTGCCGGGCCTCTGGCCGGCACATACATTTCCAGGAACAGGTCACGTAGTGCTTGCATGTTGTCTGGTCGAGTGTTCGTCCACGATGTGTCATAATACTTGTAAATGTGTTTCTCCGATCTTGCAAAAAACAAATAAGTTCAAATAAGGATCAAAAAACAAATAAGGATCAAAACAAAAACGAAATCGAGGGAAGGAAGGAAGGAAGGAAGAAAGTAGTTGTAGTACTAGTACTAGTACTAGTACTAGTACTAGTACTAGTAGTAGTAGTAGTAGTAGTAGTAGTAGTAGTACTAGTACTAGTACTAGTACTAGTACTAGTACTAGTACTGGTAGTAGCAGTACTAGTAGTAGCAGTACTAGTAGTAGCAGTACTAGTAGTAGCAGTACTAGTAGTAGTAGTAGTAGTACTACTACTACTACTACTAGAAAGAAGCACACAGGCTCAAGTCTCGATGGATATAAATAAAGATTAAGAAAGAGAAGATGAACCCAAAGAAACGATACATATGAAAAAAAACGAAAGAGAGTAGGTGGCAAGGGAAGTCGATTAAAAAATAAAAGCGGGTGGGGGGGTGCAGGGGGGAGGGCGCAGCGCCTCCCCCCGCAATGCGTACCAAGAAAGAAGCACACAGGCTGAAGTCTCGATGGATATAAATAAAGATTAAGAAAGAGAAGATGAACCCAAAGAAACGATGCCTATGAAAAAAATGAAAGATAGTAGGTAGCAAGGGAAGCAATTAAGAAATAAAAGCGGGTGGGGGGGTGCAGGGGGGAGGGCGCAGCGCCTCCCCCCGCAATGCGTACCAAGAAAGAAGTACATAGGCACAAATCTCGATGGATATCAATCAAGATAAAATGAACCCAAATAACCGGTGATGCTTATGAAAAACAAAAAGAATAGTAGGTAGCAAGGGGAACCGATTAAAAAAAAGCGGGTGGGGGTGCAGGGGGGAGGGCTGAAGAGGGGCCCTAGCGTCTACTTCAAGATCAGCTAAGGCGTCTTCCCCAATGACAGCACTCTTTTACTCTCAGCCTGTTGCCGGTCAGTGCTTGTCTACAGGGTTACTCTATATACCTCTTTCTTGAGCCTTGAAGGCGCATATAAATGTGCTCAATACTCATGCATGTCCCTATGTAGGTATTAGGTCGAAACAAAAACACAGGCACAAATTCAAAAGCAATGAGTAGAGCACTACGCCTTGCCGTACCCAATTGGTATTAAGAGTATCTTCCTGACTTCTCTACACAATGGCAAATAGCAAAAGGAACCGGAGTTACGCAGTGGCTTCGAATTGAAAAACACGTGAAAGCAGCGAATGTCCTAAGGACATGTCGAAAAAGAACAGCGGATTCGCTAATTTT